GATGGCTGTCAAACGGAGCTAAAACTACCCTGTTAACGTTGTATTTGTCTAAGAGTCTCATGCCACGTTGAAGTCTAACTTAACCCATTTAGATTACATTTAGTCTTCGAGCTACTGAATTACCACATTCTATAAATTGATCTAAGAATTTTTACAGTTAAATTTTCTGAAAGAAACCTTGGCTGATACACATTACCGATGTTATTACAAGGAAAAATATTAAAATATTGTTACTATATTAATATTTCCAAATTATCTATATAATTGTACTCTTATTTAAAAAAGTACAATTACAAAAAATTGTTATATAAATTGTTAAAAGTACAATTGTAAAAAATTGTACTCCTACATATTATACAAATTTGTAAATTTTTAATCATACAAAACTTTAACTCCATTTTACTTCTCTTCGTTAATTTACACCCTTCCACAATTCATTTTTGCGACAGTTTAAAATAACGAACACGCGTTGTAATTAAAAACGTACACCCAGCAAATGTCTTATAAACTTTGCACGTTAAACATTATGATTTTAAACGAAATTATTTCTTCAGAAACACAATTGACGTTCCATTAAATTTACACAGATAACATTATTATTTTCACCCGTTTAAATTTTGCAACAATTTTGTAATAAACTGTATTTATAAACATATACAATCACTTTAATGGTTCGCATGATTCCATATTTCGTTACGAATGTTCATTACGTTATTAAACATCGAAATGAATAATCTGCTGTTTGACAGTATTCCCTGTGTCCCTCAATATTTCCGATGCAATTAAATCTGAAATATTTAATTCCTTTTCCTTTAAATTGTCCAAATGGATTCATTAATATAATGTTTCCCAAATCGTCAAATACACAGCCGTCAAAAATTTTAAGTCCCGGAGGCCTTCATTTATTATTAGTAGATTTTAATAAAATCAATAGAATTTTTATACCATGTTTTTAATGAAAATTTGTTCAACGATAAAATAACTTCTTGATGGACATGAATTTGCAATTAAACTTTCATTTATTTGCGTTAACATTTCTGCAATTATTTGAAGCACAATAAATATCATTTTTTATATTGTTGCTTCGTTTAATAAAATTAATGAAAATTTGCCGAACGATGAAACAACTTCTTGATGGACATGAATTTGCAATTAAAATTTATTCGCGTTAACATTTCTGCAATTATTTGAAGCTCCAATATATTTCGAACGCTTCGGCAATAAATCAACAGTGACTACTTCAGATAATCGAACGTCCTGTGTTTTTTTGCAGTATATTGAAGCTCTCCTAAATTCCCGTTGAAACGAGATGAACTCCGGTGTGAAGTCGTAAAACAAATCTCGATCCTGTAGGAGATGGAGCCATACGTCCCGTTAAAGGTAAACGCTTAATGGCATCTTAGCAATTAAGAAAATGGAAAATAACGATTTCACTTGGACGTTACAGTGGGTAGAGCAGTGCTTCGAACGTTATTGGACGATATCGTGTAAGGAAACGTTCCGGCTTATTAGCACGCGTATCTAAGTAACCCTGTTGCGTGTAAACGCATCGTTTTAGAATTAAACATTATTTTTAATCTTACGATTCAACATTATTCTGTGAACTTTCTTTTCAAAAAAAACCTTTATATTAATTTTAAACGAACTGTGCAGAATTTGATGTTAATCTTAAATGAACTGTAAATTTGATATCAACTGCACGGAATTTGATATCAATTTTATATGAACTGTGAATTTGATATCAATTATTTGCTGAAGGGATATTTATACATTTGCGTGTTGCAACCATTTTCAAATAAAACCAGAAGATATTGTGAGAAGTTGCTATTTTTTGGTTGTGACGCTCTCTGAGCAAAACGACGATGTATATTTTATTCATTAAGGTTGACTTACCTTTAATGAAGTTCATAAGGTAGATTCATAAATAAACAAGACGGTAAAACGTGATCTATCATTTTTATCAGAATTAAGATTAAAACGCCCACAACAAAAATTAAATTCAATATTCTAATCTTGAAGTGGAGGAATGTGATTGTAATATAATTTGTATTTAATATACAAGAGTTATAAACTTTCTTATATTTATAAAAAAAATATATTCTTCTTACATTTACAATAAAAAAATATTCTTCTTACATTTACAACAAAAAAATATTCCTCTTACATTTACAGCAAAAAAACTTCTTACATTCATAACAAAAAAATATTCTTCTTATATTTATGAGAAGTAAGTTAGGTTAGGTCAAATTTATAAAAGGAAAATAAAATAAGAAACGATGTTACACGAAAGAACAAACGTCCAAAAAACGAAGGGTCTTTTCCTACGACGTACACAAAAAAGAATGCCAGTGTTTGATTTACCCATGGAACTAAATTAATCGACACGTGTTTTCTGATTTGTTGAAACACCTTGTCAATAAAAATTGTGATCTTATCCCGACGGAGTTGATCAGGAGTAATCAACAGGCGAATTCGTTTGTTGAACTATTCACTGATTATGGCTGTCCGATATTCTAGGGTTATTGACTGATTCTGTACGGCCATTGATTCCACCCCTGATATCGAAGGATCGCTCGTCGAGTGGATGGGAAGAATGATTATTCGTCATTAACCCTTGCCCGACAGATGCAGAGGTATTTTGACAGGATTAGTTTACTAATTTTTTATGTACATCTCACTTCGATTATAATATATAAATTATTTTTGCTACCATTAAAGAAAGAATAAATTCGGTGGAATATGTTTTCATTGTTCTGAAAACACATCAGATTTAATTATTACATTTTTGTATATTTTTGATAGCAATGAAAGTAACTTATATTTTTAAAACATTCACATGATGAAGACATTGAAATTATTTGTATAAATAAATTTATAATATATGTTAGTTTTAAGGTTACTTTGAAACAGTGTTTTAAATATTTGTTTGTCTATCCCCATCGTCTATCGAGTTAATAATTAACCACAAGTATGATTGAATAAGGGAGCACATGTCGAATTATTTGCATTCTTCCGTGAAACTTTACTGCGAGAACCTCGTAACAAAAGGGATCAATCATTTGCCCAGATTGATTTAGAGGCGAGAGAATTTCTTCGCCATACTGCGACAGAAAGCGCTGAGCGTTTCTGTTTAGAGAAAATTAATAGATCTGTTAATAGATGTTCATTAATTTAATGTACTTCTATATTTTTAGTTATAATACGAGATAAAAATGTAGTAATGCAATCAAATTGCAGACTATATAGTTTTCGATAAAGCATGAATTGCAAAGTTTTTCAGTACACGTTTAATGGCGAGGTAACGATCGTTACTTTTTAGCGTGCAACGCGACATTCACGTACGTATCGTTGATAGGCCATTGAATGAATTCAATGGAAGACAGAAATCGCAATTGCAGGTCGACGACCCCAAAAATTTGCGTAATTTCGAAAGGATCTGCCTACGGAACAGCACATTTCAGCTCGAAATAGGCATCTAACGCGTGGGGCTGTCCTGGCCGATGTTATTAGCATACTAATGTCGAATTTTCCCAGAGAGTCGCCACAATCTTTAGACAAATATTACGATTATTCGACGCTTAAAATAAGTTCCCAGGGGAACGAGTGTCGGCTTGGAAAATGGAATGAAATAAATTTCCTTACTGTACGTGCACGTGGAAATACTTCAATTTTTTAATATATGAATATTTTTACGAAAGAGAACCGTACAATTGAACTGGGTCGGAGGGAAATTTTTAATAATGAAAGAATTCTGTTTAATTGAGTAAATATTGTTGCGGAGTATTGTTTAAATTCAACGAACCTTTCGTGCATTTTGTCAAAGTTAAAATTTAATTAATAATTTAATTATTATGACTAATAGTAATTATATAATAAAAGTAACTGCTAATTGTATGATATTTTAGTTAAATAATGAAAGTGAAATTTTATTAATTTGAAGATATAATTTTAGCCACTAATATTTAATAGAATTAATAAAAAATAGAATGTATACTGTAAAAGATAAAACTGATCTTTCATTTGCCGTATAATAACAGTTTAAAATATTGTGAAAATTTCTTGGAAATTTTTTCTGTACCATTAACGTCAGACCGAACAATTATGCGATTTCATTCGAACGGTGAAGCCGAGCGTTAACAAGAGATTCGAGAATAATTCGATTAATTGTCCGGGTCAAAGAAATTGTAAATTAAAAGGGAACGGGGATAACGACCATTTCGTCTCCTTTTCTTCTTAATAACTCACTAGACGCGACGTTACGTTGTTCATCAGCTAATTACTAAAAAAAATAAGATGAAAGTGTAATTGAAGCTTGCCGCTTCATCAAACGTCGATACGAGGCAGCTTGCAATGACGCGAAGATTTTAATTAAAAGATAAATACAAAGAGGAGGAATTACTACTTGAACTTCGTTCACGTGTATCTATTCAGGATTATATTCTCAGAGAGAACTATGAGTTTTTAATCAAGACTCGTTGCGTTAGATTCATCGATGCTACCTACTGCCAATCCTTTTCTTTTGTTAACAATTTATTTATAACGTATGTTGCTAGAAAAATACAATTGAAGTTAATTAAACAAATTTTAAAAAGAATAGTATGATCATCTTGCTAAATTATCATTTTTACTATATTTTCATATCATATGTTATTACATAAAAAATAGTCAATCTTGAGACACTTAAAGTTTAAATAAATTTCATGACATAAAATTCTCTCAAAATGCTACTTACTGTATATTAAATTTTAACCTTGAGTCTGAAAAAAATACCTGAATACAAGTCGTTTAAATTTACGACCACGCTATATTTCCATAAGAACTATACCAATTCTCTAAAATTTTAATACTGACATGCCATCTAGTGATGCTATCAGATACAAAAAAACCTATGTTAACAACTGTTACTAAAACACATAATCGAAAATAATTTTCAATTCACACCACAGATGGAACACATAGTGCCTAATCAGAAATTAACACTATTTACGAAATGAGTACACTCGAAGCGTGTATACATACAAGTTTAACAATCTATCTATTCTATGAATCTTATCTTATTTTAGCAGTGATGTATTATTAATAATAATCAATGTATTGCATGCGTTGTGCGAACATATCTTTAAAAATATGGCAAAATCAGATGTGGTGAACAACTCCAAAATATTGTCAAATTTGGAAAAAGAGCAAAAAGTAATCGATAGAGCACCTTTTCGACACTTAAAAATCACCGACGCTGGGATTTTGGATACGATAGAAGGCAGGAAAATATGTGAACGTTGTTATAGATCACGAAAATTCTTCTGTTATTCATGTTATTTACCAGTCATCAGTGAAAAATATTTTCCAAGAATAAAGGTAACAATAATTCATTTCATACATTTTAAATTCATACAGGTATGAATGCCATATCTTATTTTTAGCTACCAATAAAGATTGACATCATCAAACATGCACGTGAGATTGACGGAAAAAGTACTGCAATACATGCTGCTATTCTTGCACCAGAAGATGTGAGGATATTTACATATCCTGATTTTCCAGAAATAGAGGAAAAAGAGAAGGTATAGTGACAATATACTTGTGCTTTTTTGATCAAAGTCAAGATTTGGTCTAAATAATATCATCCCTTAGACTGTTTTAATTTTTCCCAGCCAATTTGGCATGAGCGTGGACTCACTGTTTATGAAAGAGATTAAAAAAGATGATAAAGTAATTGTGAAACAAATAAGGAACACGATTCCTATAACTAGAGCTATTTTTATTGATAGTACATGGCATCAAACAAAAGCTATTTACAAAGATCAAAGGCTACGAGGTAAATATGATCATACATTAATAATATGTTTTATGAACAATCATTTTTTTATATCTTTATTTTCAGATTTGCAATGTGTAATTTTAAAATCTAGAATATCTCAATTTTGGCGTCATCAGAAGAAAAGTCCACGGTGGTATTTAGCTACAATTGAAGCAATTCATCAGTTTTTAGTGGAGTTGCATACCTGTGCATATGGTATAGTACCAGAATATGCTGACATAAACAATGCTGGAAAAGAAATAATTAATGAAGTAAATTCTATGAATGATACTACACAGTGTCATATAAATGAATTATCTAAATTGGATCAAAGGTACAAAGGTCAATACGATGATCTTTTATATTTTTTTAAATATATGTATGAAAAGATTCATACTATGTATGATCATGACCAGTTATGGGCATATAAGAGGCCATTGACGTAATTCTGTGATAATGAAATAAGTATTAATATATTATATTAAGTATAATACTGTTAATAAAAGAAGTTTATATTAAATCATTTATATCTTCTCATTTATATCTGATCATTCTATCTAAAAACTAATAGGTTTTTGTTCATGTTACAAGCTATTTTAACCTATTTTTTATGATTCCAATATTTATTCTCTAGGATAAAACTATCATACAGTGTGTATTTTAGTGACTACATATCAACATAATAAGATTCTACAAGAAAGGAAAATACAGGTTGGATAAGTATAAACAAAAATAAACATATTTAGAATGAGTCACTTTCTGACTCAGCAAGATATGTAAAGACTTTTGCAATGTTCTGATATCATTTTATACATAAAATAAATACATCAATATCTTATTTTATGTTTTGATTAAGATTAACAAATTATCTCACCATATCAAAAAGTCATGATTACATTAAACAAATATACAAACACCACTATATAGTACATAACAAAATAAAAAAGGATATTCGATAAACAATAATGTATGTCCCAATAAATAAGTATTCCCGGTAAATCAACATTTAAATTAATCAATTTTTCGATAATGTGTGTCTCGAAAACAGGGACGTTGAGAACATTCACGGGCCCAAGTACTGCAACTGTGCGGAAGCAAAGAAAAAGGTATTTACGTATATTTATAAATTTCGTTAGTTCTAATATGTGTGTGACAATAGCCTATTGTTAAATCTCCACCTTTGCGAGAATCTACAGGTTTTAAATTAAACATTCAAATTTTAAAGATAAATATTTCTATTGTCAACAGACAAACTTTGACGTCCAATATATATCAGCAATTCCTGGCATTCCTTACTGTAACTCCTTCTGCGGCAATATAACGAGAGTCTACTGTACCGTACATAAAACCTTTAAAATTTTCAAAAAACTGGTAAACCGCGGGACCTTTCAAAAACACGGGGTCATATTCCAAGGATCGTTTTAAATCTCGCGCCAGCTCCGCTCGAAAGATTATAAACTGGTAACACGTATTTCAGCCAGCTGAAAAAATAGTCGGTCGAACTAAAGAACTGTTCTGCAAATACCAAAGTATCCTCATCGACATTGCAAGTTTTTCAATTGTTTATTTCGTCTGAAAATAAACAAGAAATACAGGGAGCATGCACGGGAAAAAGAATGCTTCCAAACACACGGGAGGCAGCACGCTCATTCGTGAATAGCTCGTGGCGACGTCACAGCGTCCCCGTCCCTCGCGTCGCGCGACCCGCGTCGGCCGTCAACAGTCGGCGATGAGTTTAGTTTTCAAAACAAGAGTCTGGTCACCACTCGTTGGCCGCACTCGTGTCTAAACGAAAACTGGAGGTACACTCGTAAACCGGTGACGTGAAAGGCTGTGAAATAATCGTGTCTCGTGCCGGCCTAGTTTCTTCCGGTGTTTTTGCCTTTCTCGTTAAAACGTGACGAAAAAAATGGACACCCTTCGCGAACAGGTGATGATCAATCAGTTCGTGTTGGCTGCAGGTTGTGCCCGGGAGCAGGCGAAACAGTTGCTGCAAGCGGCGCATTGGCAGTTCGAGGTGAGAGAATTACTTTCCGCATCTTTTTTTCGACAAACATCGAGAACTTCACTGTACTCGTGCCCGTCGCGGCTCGATACTTTCTACGTAAACAAAGGAGCGAAAATGGCCGACGGTACATCCAAGCGGTACTATCCTCGCTTTAACTCGAAAATATTGTGTGTTCCTAATAACCGATGAGAAAAAAATCCGTTGAATGTACTCGATCAATGTTGCTCCGTCGGTTATCGCGAATGTTTGCATTTAAATTTGATTAACGATTGCGATTTGTGACTGTTGATGACCCAGTCAACACATTTACTACCACACAGGATGAAGTCCATTCATAAAAATCGTACGATGTTGCTAAGAGGTTTTGTTCGTTATTGTGTGGGAATGTTTGTATCCAGTCAAGGTTGTGTATAGTACGTGCTCGCGAGATTTACTGTTTTACAACTGTCGTTATCGATAATCTTGAAATGTTATCGATAACATTATTGAGGCAAATAAACGACTGACGTAGAATGTAACACATAATTTCATCATTCGAGCTTAATTATTCCCGTTTGAAATTACGGTAGATTGTATCCAAAGTTTGAACAAGAGTAAGTAAATTTGAACATACATGCAAGTTACGTATCATATTAAGTTAGGTTAAGTTTGAAGTTTAAACAGAAATGAATAGATTTGAATGATAAAATTACGCGTGACATTCTACTTCAGTCACTCCCATTAGCCGTAACGATATTATCGATGTATCGTTAAATATCAATATCGCAACTGTTTCGATAATCAACATCTTCGATTTGTTGTTGTTTATATATTTACGATTACGTTCAGATGCAAAGCTAGTTTTAGAATTGGCTTTTATTCACAAACGTCGTTAAAGCGTACATTGAATGTGCGTAAAGTTACGCCGTCTTAAAATAGGGTCATGCGTCTATATTATACCCGATTTCTTCAAACAGACTTGGCTATTAGCAACGAGAACAACGCTGACATCGCGTGCGGCAATCGCGAACAATAATTATCTTTTCGGTACAGGGTTTCCAGGGCTATCGATTCACGAAGTTTCGTTGTACTAAAATCATTCTTCGTTCTATGTAAATTAGATTACATTTAGCTCGTTCGACATATGGCATAGTCTTGGAGCTGCTAAACATCTTATACGCGTCATTCGGTTGAGAAACAGGGAGTTGTGTCTCAGCATATAATTAGAAGGTTCATCCGCTGATTAAAATTGTAAATGAAACTAAAATAAAACTTTATTGATTGCTGTACGTTATATAAACAGACTTTGTTGACACGCGAATCTGTATGTATACAATAACGGGACGAAAATTAATCTTGAGTGAGGTGCAGTTTCTATTGCACGGGCCGTGAGATTAAGTTAGGTTCTAGTAAATATTATTAATTGATATTGTGAACTTTAGAACTTCTTTTTACGGAGGCATTGATTGATGATAATTGTAGTAATAACTGAGAATTTATTGTTGACTATACGTGATGTAAACATAGACTTTGTTGATACACGAAGATGTATGTATACAATAAGGTGCTTTAATCGATTTTATGAGGCATGAGGGGAATGCACGACCTTCGGAACACCGATTTCATGCAGACTTAGCAGAATTATAGGAGAGCCTGCACGTCGTGATTTTGCAACATTGCATCTCTGTGAAATAAGGAATTTTTTAATTCCATCACTAACTTAAAAATATTCGAATTGAAAATTGGTTTATTTTTTACTGCCACGGGAAGTCAATAAAGTTGTATCTAAAACTGACATACACAGAGTTCATATCAATAACCTCGCAGCTATTATTTATTAGTATTATCCAGCGCTTCTTTTGTGAAAGGTTTACATATTTCTGGTGGCGGAGGTGTATCCGAAGAGGAAATAGAGCACGGAAATACCATTCCAATAGCTTGAATAAGAAAAGGTACAATTTTAACGCGAAACGTTCATGTTTAGCTGGCGACCGGCATTAAATTGATCTGTAACAACTAAATGATAGATGGCGAGATCAGATTGGCTATTATATGCCACGTTTACTACAAGGGATCACAATGTGAGGTTAGAATAGGGACGGCCATTAAGGCAATCTCTTGGAGCAGTTTGATACATTGTAATCCAAACAAATCAGAACACATGTTATTAATTCCTTGGGTCAATATGACCCGACAGATTAGCTATAAATATCATTTCTAAATATTTTTTAATATTCAAAGTTTTAGTTATGGGATCAGTTTTAAGTGATTTATTTATTAAATTCTAAAATTGTCAAAAGCCACTTGGTCATGTTGACACTGTAAAGATAGGGAGCTTGGACTACCTTAGAAAATAATCCTAGTTACGGCGGTGCATACATTCTTTTATTAGGCAATTTGCAATATCGAGAGATGTTACACGCTCATTGGATAATCGTGAAAGCATCTGTATCGTATATTTATACCTATGTAAGAGGAGAGACAGAGAGGGAGAAACTGGAAAGGTACCGGGGTAACGTACACAGAGACTTGCCAGTAGTCATTAGAACCTATGTCGTAATCTGTTGTTAAACGCATTAGCAGCCGAGCCAGAGAAAGTTTTCAGACCGAATTCAACGAACAGACTGAATTCTCTTGTTTCTCCATCTTCTCTCGAGATAACGCGACTCTGGTTATTAAGAGTTTTTATTCTTCCGCTGAGGTTAGAATTCCAGTGTTGGTTGCCATGGAGGTCACCTATGTCCGTTACTTCGAGTACATAATTTAAAAAACGAGACAAATTTTGCATTACCATTGCTGTCACAAAATGGTACGTGTACTTCATACTTTCATCCGAGAACAGTATTTGTGGGTAAAATTAGATGGCGTTGAATCACGTGGCGATATAAAGCATGGTAATAATATGAGAAAATAACAATACGTGATGACATAACCTGTAGAGATGGAACGCGTCACGTGGCACGTGACTACACACAGGGATATAATAAATGGCTATATAAAAAGATATGGGGACATGTGGTAATATGTTGCGTGGAAAAATAATGCTGTGAAGAAATGAAACACGTGGTGGTACTTTTGTATATATGTGGCGATATATCAAATGGAAAGTGGCAATATAACACGAGGTACATGTTATATCACATCTGATGATGTAATATGTAGAGATAAATATGTTGCCAATTTCGAGGATCTTCCAACAGCTTCTGCGGCAATATAACGAGAGTCTACTGTATGTTTAACCTAGTAGTTCCAGAGGGAACATTAAGGCCTAATTGGACGGTTACTAATCGATCCAGGTAAATAGAAGCAGCAGGACTATTGTTATCGTTATCGTAACACAGATCATTGAGCCACGCCATTTTATCGAAGATCCTGCACAGAGATCAACTTCTAAGCTAGAGAAGCAGCAAGATTACGACGATCCCATTGTGGTGACATCTGGCAAAGTCCATCTGTTCTGTTTTTGTCGCCGTCAGTGTTTCTCATCGTTAACAAATCTGCACCTTCGTTCCTATTTGACGAAGGTCAACAAGACAGACTCTTTTGCTGGACCGTAATAATTCAATCGGTGTGTTTTCGTTTCTTTCGAGCTCCACGCGCTTCTTAAAAACCAATATCAGAGAGAAGGACGTTTGACATTTGCGACATTGTTCAGGCTCCTTTTGCATGCCGCAAGCGTGGTAAATGACAAGACAATATAAGACGTATTAGCATTTTCTTTTATTTTGAAGTTACGAAGCAAAATGGCAGGAAATCTTTGTTTGTAAACATTGCGTTGTAAAATGTCTCGTGACGCTTTTAGGTACATACGACTTTTTTAAACCAGTTTCAACCAGTTTTTTTCACCTTCAAAACACGACCACGGGGTCAATCTTGACTCAGGCTTACGATGAGTGTACAACGATGCATCAACAGAAAACAAAACTTAAATTTTGTACATGGAAAATTTCGCGGAACTTTTAATTAATCTTTATGATTGCATTCATAATTGGTACGATACATTCAAATTGCGCGCCAAATTAGAATCAGTAAGGCTAAGAAATCGTTCGGTATTCGAAATATTTACTACTTCAGATAAACAAATAAAAATGTTTCCTATGTTTTGAAATCACGATAGCAAACAAAGTATCCGTATCTGTGGTATGTTTCTCTTTAAATCGCGCAACAAGAAATATAAACGCGCGCATTTTTAAACGACGCTTTAGGCGATTCGCGCGAAAGTTTACCGACCGCAGATCAATGGCTTCGTATGCGCAACGACTTTTAACCACCGACCCAATTTCTACGGAAATTTACACACAATTCGTGCTCGATTCACTCGTACATGCGACATTCTTCGCTTCGCGGAACTTTTTAATGTTATTGCCAAGAAAAACAATGACGTATTGCTGAGAACTTTGATCGTATCTCATTCAATTTACCTCGAAACTATTTTTCATACGGAACGCTACGAGTTGTGCATTTCAAATCAGGTCCGATAATAGTGTATACAAAGTGCTGGACTAAAGTTAATAGTATCGAACGTCCATTATGTAAATCCATTATTTAAGGTTAAATACAAAAATTCAGTTTATTATTCATCGATTAATTGAATGAGTAATGGATTATGTAAAGATCACTGGCTATTTTTAGAATTTAATAATTGACAGAGTTACTTAATGTTCTTGAGGATATACAACTTTTCATTGCAGAAAGATCGATTTAAAAATATACATTAATGACTCTTGTTATATTGTCATGGAATGATGGAAAATTATTGAAATTGGCAATATATGTACATGGCCATATAATTTATGGTGACTGATATCAATATAAAGTTTAACTATGGCTATACAGCAAGAGTCAGTACAGTGCATAGCAATATAACGTGTAAGATACAATATGGCAATATAACGCGAGGTCATAAAATGCGTGACAATATGAGGTAATATAGTGTGTGACGATATAACCCCAGAAAATACAATATGCGGCGATATAACACGAGGTGATATAACGCACGGCGATATAACGCGATTGTCGATTAAAGATGAGAAATTCTTGTCTTACAATCAAGGAAAATATTAGTATTACGCGTGAAGTCTAAAAGTGGCGATATAACGCGAGGAATATAATATGTGGCGATATAGCGCGATTGTCGATTAGAAATGAGAAATTCTTGTCTTACAATCAGGAAAAATATCAGTATTACGCGTGAAGTCTGAAAGTGGCGATATAACGCGAGGAATACAATATGTGGCGATATAACGTGATTGTCGACTAGAAATAAAAAATTCCTGTCTTACAATCGTTAAAAATATTAGTATTATACGCAAAGTCTAAAAGTGGCGATATAACGAGAGTTTACCGTATATAATTTAATGTTTACAAGATACAAAAGTTTCGAGATCGTTGTTCTGATTAATTTTCCTTTAAACAAGATATCAAATTTTATTTCTTATTTTGGACAGATGTTATCGATCAATTTTATCGATTTTTCGTCAATCGAAAATAAACGAACCACGTTAATGTTAACTCTATTTACGTCAACAAACTTCAGATGAAGATAGCAAACAGTTTAAATTATTTGATTATTCGATAAAATGATCACGATTATGTTGTGTGGAAGCTTTCCACGACCACAACACGCTCGATTGTCTTGTATTAAGACAATCAAGAAGATTCTTATCGTCATGCTTGTCGGATTAATAGAACTATGTATTTCTCATTTCACCCGCCTTTTGTTCGAAATACAAGTCCTACTTATAGACACCGAAAAACTTAATCGGCTTACACAAATTTATTATCAGTACCATACATTTTATGGGTACTTAAGGCGTCGGTAAATTTGTAAAGTTTCTTCAAAATGGAAGATGAATACCCTGTTACCTCCCGTTAATTGGATATCCTGGCCAAGCACGTAACACAAACCCCTAACTGTAACTAGTGCATTGCAGTTGAACTGCGGTTCAAACTGTAGCAACAAAGTATCGAGCCAATCCTTATGCCTGTCCGCAGTTAAATATTTCAACATCGTGCTAAGAAAGTCACCAAAGCTTCTATACGTGTGCTAATATCTTTAGCTACTGTCCGACACGCAACCAACGTTCGAACTCACATTGTTCCACGTACCGACTGCTAACAGTCTGCAGTTCTCCACACTCTACATCATATTTATAAAACACGACGTCAGAACTCGGAACCGTGGAATTTTAAGACTTTAACACTGTAATTTTGGGATTTCAAACTTTGGAATTTTTAGTTTAGCGATTTTTGGAACTTGAAATTTTGGCACTTAAGAATTTTTTATGTGTGGACTGTTAAGGCTGAAATTTTGGAATTTTTTGAATTTTTATGGTGGAATTTTGGAAGTTTATAATTTTGGAATTTTTTAAATTTAATGTCGTTCCAAGTTTTCGAACTTCTCTATTATGCTTTATTCGTAGAATTGTTTATACTCGCGATATATTGCAATAAAGGGTAATCTTGCATTAATTGCACCAGTGTACTTTCCACGAACACTTGTAAGGTAAAAAGACTATAATAACTTCCCTACGACGTGCACATTTGAAAATTATAAACTGTGAAAAGAATGCTAAAGCTTTATAGGACGAGAAAGAAGAGACTGGCTGAACTTATTCAAGCAGATGCTCATAACCGATACCATACTATTTTTATCAATATTTCCGTATTAATAGAGGGTGAGACACGCACACCTCCAATAACTTTAAAAAAGTTATTTACCAATTTTGTTACAAGTAAAAATTGAATAAATCAATTTTATAAATAAAAATTTTAACAATGTAATATATTAATTTTATTTCAATTATATTTATTGTACAAAAATTCAATTTCAATTGGAGGTAAAAATATTGTACTGTGCGTCTGATGAAATGGCGCGCCAACCGATAAGATTCACACTGCCTCCAGCTGTCATCTTACCAGACGCACACGGTACACGTATTCAAAAGTGACTATGAAATGTTTAAATTAGCAGACTATTAATGAAGTAGTAAATTGCAAATAATTAACAGTAAATTGTCTAGTAAAAAATAGTTTTATTTTTATATTCAGTTTTAATTTTTCTGCTATTCTGTATTATACTTAGTTTCTAACTGGGACGTTATATCTATAAGTGGTTTGCGATAGGAAAAAGTTGAATGAAACAAGGTCTATACTTTTACGATTTCTCTATTTTTGTTGTGCTTCGTAACCTGTTGTCCTCGGAGGTGTGAAAGAACCACAATTTCCGTTAGGTGTACACATTTCGTGCGCGTAACGATTAATCGACCGGCGTATTCAAATTCTGATGAATTCGCACAGACTTCAGCGTATTTTTAACAGTAACACTGCTGGATTTTATTTCGCCTTGAAATACGACCTTATGAAAGAAACATGGAAGTTAATTACACTTACCTGGTGGAAAAGTGTCGTACAGTTGCTGATAAAATTTATTTGTTTTTTTCGTAGCTAATTGTGAAATGTGAATAAAATTAAAATTCTTGAAAGGAATGGTGTTTATGAGACTATTGGATTAATTAGGGCAATTATATTTGAATTGTAAATTTAGGGGCGGTGGGGTCAAGTTTGGTTTTGTTACAAATTTAGAAATTAGAAATTATTAAATTTTTAAATTGCGAAATTTCTAATTTCCCACATTTCCAATTTTCCACATTTCAAATTTCCCAAATTTCAAATTTCTCACATTCCTAATTTCCCACATTTCAAATTTCCCACATTTTCAATTTCCCAAATTTCTGATTTTCCACATTTCAAATTTCCCAAATTTCTAATTTTCCACATTTTAAATTTCTCAAATTTCTAATTTCCCACATTTCAAATTTCCCAAATTTCTAATTTTCCACATTTTAAATTTCCCAAATTTCTAATTTCCCACATTTCTAATTTTCCAAATTTCTAATTTCCCACATTTTAAATTTGACTCGTTTCTAATTTCCCAAATTTCTAATTTCCCACATTTCTAATTTCCCACATTTCTAATTTTCCAAATTTCTAATTTCCCAAATTTCTAATTTTCCACATTTCCAATTTCCCAAATTACAAAGTAACCAACTTCATGCACACAAAATTGCAATATTCCCAAATCTTTAACTTTCCCCCTAAAAATTTTGATACCTCCCCTTATCATCTTCCAAACTTCTAAATGTAAAAATTTAAAACTGAAAAAATGTACGAATGTAAAAACTTAAGAATAAAAAATTTAAAATAGATCAAGTGAGAAGATACACAAACAGTTCCCTTAGTCCCATCTAATTCGAGTTTTTTTAATTTGCAGACTGCCCTCAGTATTTTCTTCCAAGAGGCTGCGATACCTCCTTGCGCGCAAGGACCTGGTACACATTTCGGCCAAGTAAGTCGACTCGTTTTTGACAAAACGTTATCAGTATGTATAGTTCAAACAAAGCTTATCTCAAGATTTAGGCTGTGTTTGTATACCGAATCATTCTTATATTCACACCTATGTACATAACAGTGAATCACAAATGGTTATTTGTACCCTTGACTTTTTTCGAAATTTATAATTCTTCAAATAAATTGCGTCATTTAATTTATTTTCTATAGTGTGTGTACACGTACGTGTTTCGAGTAACGTGCTCGTCGATACGATATCGATTTTGATTGGAAGTAACAGTATGTAATATTAAAGTGATTCAAAGTATTATGTAATTAATGATTCAAGTACCGATTGTTTCTTCTAGTAACAGTGGCGATATAAATATTTCATTGCATCGATTTTGTGATTATTTACGTTTATACTTTTGTTATTATTCTCTGTTGATTTATTAAAATAGATATTTACGAGATAGATATTTAGATATACTTTAAGGGTCACTTTTTTATTATACGTTTTTATTTTTAGTTGAGAAGAAGTTAAATAGGTGACCGTGATTTAATATTTTTAATGGTTTTAGTAATTGCCATCGTGGTTATAGTTTTACTGTGGCAGTTAACGTATTAATATGTCACATTTATGGGGCTATTAGAATTGCATTATGTAAATGAAGTATTTGGTTGATGGAATCTAAACGAAAACAACCTTTAGTGTGCTCTGGTGACATCACAGCCAAGGTGGGAGAGAAAATCAATTCCGTTGCCTGACCTTTACGGAATCTCCTCTCTTTCAAAACAGTTTATCATTTTGCACCTTGAATTTCCATCCTACTTTTCTTTCACATGCAAGTTTTGAAAATTTTTGGTCTGAGATTTTTATTCTTGAATTTTCAAATTTATGGTTTTTGAAAATTAGAGATTTTCCGAGTACTGAATTCTAAATTTGGAATTTCAAAATGTGGAATTGCTATATTTGGAATTTCAAAAATTTGGAATGGCGACATTTGGAGTTTTAAAATTTGGAATTTCAAAAATTTGGAATTGCAACATTTGGAGTTTCAAAACTTGGAATTTTAAAAATTTGGAATTACAACATTTGGAGTTTCAAAGCTTGGAATTTCACAAATTTGGAATTGCAACACTTGGAAATTCAAAAATTTGGAATGGCAACATTTGGAATTTCAAAAATTTGGAATTGCAGCATTTAGAATTTCAAAATTTGGAATTGCTATGTTTGGAATTTAAAAAATTTGAAATTGCAATATTTGGAATTTCAAAGATTTGGAATTGCAGCATTTGGAATTTCAAAAATTTGGAATTGCTCCATTACCAAAACCGAAATTTTCCCACTTAAAATTCTCAAATTTCCACACTCTAATCCTTAAACTTCCAAATTACAAAATTTTTATTAACTACTCATTATATTTAACGTGCTTAAGTCTCTAAATTCGCATATTTTGAAATCCCGCCCTTTTATTCCTGACGTGGGTCATTAACACTCATTACAACAACATAAATCCAACCTAACTCAGCAAAAATGGTTACGCCACGAATAAGAGCTAAAATTGATTGCTGTACACACATGTATTTTCACGTCCACTGTAAGCAGCTGTTTATCATGAGTCAAACTTGAACGTACACTCGCGCACGCAGTGTTTATCGCGTTAACACGTTGTGTCGGAATAAAGATTCTCTTCAGAAATCCGTGATACTCGCGTTATCAGTATCGAATAAACGTCAGACTGTCTAAGATACACATTGCTGCACCGTATTCCTATACAGATTTGAGCAAGCAACGTTATCGGTACTGTAATAAAAAATAATATTGTAGAACGATAATGTTGTTCATTTCGCAAGAACACAGAGGATAACGGGTTGACGTATGAATCACAGTGAATGATACACGATGATACTGCCTGATGAGGGAAACCGAAAATAGTAATTTATATTTGAAACAGGATATGAAGAAAGAAACTCGTACGCGAAACGTTTGAATTAAGGTCAAGGTGATTTTAATATGCGAACGATTCGTCGTGGCTTCTGGCGTTAACTGGTTCACGCTTCTTTTGTTTCTTTCCAAATAAGGAAAAAACCACTTTTTATAAATGGATGATATTCCACGATTTTTAATCTTATTAACGGAGTCGTTACCAGTAGTAGATTAAAGATATCCGCTTTTTTATGCATAATAAATTCTTTTCGTATATAGTGCTTCTTTTATGTAATAAATGCGACAGTACTTTTTTCGCGTAACAGATTTAGTATGCAATTTGCGTCGCGAGATTGCAGTTTGAGATATTAATTCGTAGTAATTGGAGGGGCACGAGAGTGGGGAGTTATTTAGGTTTGTTTTTATATTGATAATGTTTCAAAATGTTTATTACTAACTTGGAAACATAAAAGTACGGTCGCAGTGCCAAATAGTTTAGACGTCTGAGGAGTACAGCTTATAAATAGAAGTACACGCGAGGCTACTGATGTCTAAATAAACAGACTGAATGTTATTGTAAGACATAATGTACAGACGAGCACAGTAGTTATACGGGGTGTCCCATTTGAAACTTTGCATGTAATTATTTGCATTATTATAAATAATATTTCAAGTTGTTACTATGTTACATTAATTGTAAATTTGTGAGTTTGGAGATTTAAAAGTTTGAAAATTTAGAATGTTAGTATTTATACATACAATAAGTACTTAAACCATACTCAACTATATTATAATTTCAATAATACTCAGCCATGTTATATCGCATTTTTGAAACAGAACAAAAAAATTACATAGCACTCAAGCGGTTAAACACCTATTTAATAGCTCGAGCATGAAATAACTGAATCACTTAACATATTCGCGATTAAGTGGTTTCACGTGAGATTAAATATCGTTCGCGGAACTTACATCATGCCAACGTAATACAGAACACGCGTAACGTTATTACACGGAATTTTCTCACTTGTCTTTGTTAATGTACCACGCTTGACAAAACATGTTAAACCTATGTTGCAAATGAACTATGAATATCGGAACTTTATATGAATGGTATGTAAAAATAACTAAATACGTTCCTGGCTCGATCAAGCGACTGATATACAATTTCGTTGCATAATGTTGCTTACAATAGAAAAGAAAGTCGAATTCAAGATTATTGTAACATGTGATGATGGTATGATCATGTTATATATATTCTCAATAAAAAAAAATCGATATGCTTAAAAGTAAAAGTGCTGCGTAAGTAAAAATATAGATTCTCGGTATATTGCCACTTTTGCGAATTAGTGATACCTTGTTAATTATGGCGAATTTGCTCGTATATGTTTTATCGCCATATGTTATATTGTTCTACGTGTTATATCACCACTTGTTATATATTTCTACGTGCTGTATTACTATATCTTATATTGCCATATATATTATATGACAACGCGTCATATTTCTCTCGCATTATATCGCCATGCATAATACTTATCCTCGCATTATATCGCCACGCGTAATACTTATTCTCGCGTTATATCGCCATGCGTTGTATTTCCCCTCGCGTTATATCGCCGAGCGTAATATTTCTCCTCGCGTTGTATCGCCGTGTGTCATATTTTCCTCGCGTTATATCGCCGAGTGTCATATTTCTCCTCGCGTTATATTGCCAGTCATCATATTTTTCCTCGCGTTATATCGCCATGCGTTGTATTTCTCCTCGCGTTATATCGCCGAGCGTAATATTTCTCCTCGCGTTATATCGCCATGCGTTGTATTTCCCCTCGCGTTATATCGCCGAGCGTAATATTTCTCCTTGCGTTATATCGTCGTGTGTCATATTTTTCTCACGTTATATCGCCGAGTGTCATAGTTCTTCTCGCGTTATATTGCCAGTCATCATATTTTTCCTCACGTTATATCGCCGTGTGTCATAATTCTCCTCGCGTTATATCGCCGGATGTCATATTTCTCCTGGCGTTATATCGCCACGCGTAGGATTTCTACACATTATATCGCCACGTTATCTGCAATTTTTACTGCCGATAATATACTGTTGATATTAGCTCTTTTATTATCACAAAATTTAGAATATCGAACGCGACTATCTTTGTTTTGAAACATTTTTCGTTTAAGCAAATTTGACTAATCCTCTGATAAGTAAAAAATCAATATTGTATCGATGGCAGATAATAAAATAGGACTGCTATTATTGGGTCAGTATTTTTTAATTTTTCATCGAATAGTATTATTTATTGTGCTTACCGAATATTTATAAATAGTAACATTTTTTTTTCATTGATACTATGAATATCAAAAAATGTTCCACGTTTCTTTTTATAACTTTTATTGTTAGGAAAGAGTAAACATTTCCAATATTTTTCCAGAGCTGATTGTGTAGCCCGGCCATTTTTGTCGATGAATTCGATTGGAACACAAACATCTGGTATTCTTTTTTCGATCGTTGATAGATCATTCGATATAAACAAATTGTTCCCCCGAAAAATTTAATATCCTGACTCTGTTTCGTGTCACGTATGCTAGATTGTTTTCAATTAACGTGCAATATGTTCATCGCTGTTATTACATCGCATCGTAACATCACATCGTAATTAACCCCGATTAACCTTTCATTACGCTCTTTATCTTTCAGCTCGAAATTTCTACCGCATATATTATACTATTTTTAGAACAATATATTCGTCAATTGTATTTTCAGTGGGGAAATTAAAACTGATGCTCAACTCGTACAATATTTATCATATAACTTCCAAGTTATGAAATTTTCAGATTTACAAATTTTTAATCTTTATTTTTAAATTTTGTAGATATTTCAATTCGTTAATTTTATACGAGTACCATTTTACTATTACTTTTTTATCAAATTACGTATTTAAACTTTCTCAAACAAACTGTGTGTCATAATCTAATATTTGTAGCGCCCAGGGCAATGCAAATCACAAAATATTGTTAATAAAAGATAAAGGAAGCTGTTATCTAATGTATATATGGACGGTTATGTCGACGATCATAAATAACGCGAACTAGATTATAGTTACATCACTTTGAAAAATTACGAGCCAGATAGGATAACAAGCTAGATATACGCGATATAGTGAACTCTTTGTTTTGTTTCTTATTGTAAACGAAACTCTCTATGCTATAATAAAATATTGCCTGACTTTAAAAAACTAGACAACGATAAATATTCATTTAATCGCTTTCAACATAGTTTATAGGTGAAACGTGGTTTCGTTAAGATCCATGTTTTTATTATCACTTTCGTGAAATAAAAAATATACGGATGTGTAATTATATCGGATTATTGTGTAAGATCCTGATAAGAGAAGCAGGAAATGATGATAAGGATACTTCTGATGTAGCCGATGCTACTTCATTGATCGATTAAACAAATACAGAGTACCTTCGAGTTCTCTCCTCGACAATTTTCCACCTGCTTGTTGTTGCATTTGTTAGTTTTTCATCCCGGAATGACAGAGTCATTGTTCATTTTTCACCTATGCAAATTCGCGAACGTTCTCGTGCGGACGTACTCGACTTTTCGCGAGAGTCACGTTCGTCAATTTATGTAATAACTGAACTCCGTACGGCATAACATAATTATAATTATTTCAACGTGCAGCAGCGTCGCGTATCGAATTTCAATTGATTAATTTAATGCGAGCCAGGCATTAGAATCGCGATAATTTTATCGATTGTAATACTGTTGCCATGTTACTAAACACGTATCCATTTACCAGAATCAGATCGCATAGGCTCTTTTATTTAACGCAGTCGCCGATTCTTGTGCCGAAGAAGAATCGTATTAATTTCACAGCCTGTTTCCGGCCATTTGTACAATAACGAACCGTTCGGATTAATTAGTAAGATCGTAAAACTACGTGGCATGACCATGTTGACTCAGCAGAACGACCGAGGTTCCTTTCTTATTAACCACTGTTACCTGGGGCTGAAAATTTCATTTTTTCCTTTGCAAATTATGCAAAAATATTATCTAAGCAAATATGCTTTACTTTATTTTATTTCACTTTGTGTCATTTGTTTTACTAACATTATGAGAATAACTTTGCTGTACAAATAAAATACTCACGTCTGTCACATCTAGACGTATATTACTAAATTCCTTTATTCTGAAATCCCTAGATCTTGACTATTCTAACATTTTTAACAGATCAGGATCTCGATAATTCCTGCATTCTAAATATCCCTAGACCAAGATATCTAGATCTTCAAATATCAATCTAAATCCGTATAGGCGAGAATTTTTATATCCCTAGATTTAGATAATCCTGGATTCCAATATTTCTAGATTTCGATATACCAAAATTCTTAAATTTTCAAAATCTCTAGATCCCAAAATTCTTAGATTTCCCAGATCCCCCAAATTTCTAGATTTCCAAAATCCCTAGATCCCCCAAATTCTAGATTTCCAAAATCCCTAGATCCCCAAATTTCTAGATTTCCAAAATCCCTAGATCCCCAAATTTCTAGATTTCCAAAATCCCTAGATCCCCAAATTTCTAGATTTCCAAAATCCCTAGATCCCCAAATTTCTAGATTTCCAAAATCCCTAGATCCCCAAATTTCTAGATTTCCAAAATCCCTAGATCCCCAAATTTCTAGATTTCCAAAATCCCTAGATCCCCAAATTTCTAGATTTCCAAAATCCCTAGATCCCCAAATTTCTAGATTTCCAAAATCCCTAGATCCCCAAATTTCTAGATTTCCAAAATCCCTAGATCCCCAAATTTCTAGATTTCCAAAATCCCTAGATCCCCAAATTTCTAGATTTCCAAAATCCCTAGATCCCCAAATTTCTAGATTTCCAAAATCCCTAGATCCCCAAATTTCTAGATTTCCAAAATCCCTAGATCCCCAAATTTCTAGATTTCCAAAATCCCTAGATCGCGATATCCCTAAATCTCAATAACCTTAAGTTTTTATATCCCAAATATCCCCATATCCCAATATCCCTAGATCATATTATTTCTATATCTCAAAGTCCCTAAATTTTTTAATCTATAAATCCTTACACTGTTAAATTACTAGATTATATTTCTATGTGCTCAGATCTTCTCCATGTCGTGAAATTCGTATATTCGAAAATACCCGTATTTGTATATAAAGCTGAAACAGAAACGAGAGATAATTCATATTACACTCCTTCAACTGGTTATTCATAAATCCGAGTTTATTGACAAGTCAGCGATATCTTATCGGGGATCGTTGCCTCTATCTCTGTTCATTGGATACGGGCGTTCTCTTCTGTTTGTATGCTGCTTCAGTTAGCGAACTTCGGAACGTTATGAAAGGCAGAGAACCACTGTGGACAGATAGTTGCTAGGTGTGTTACTATTCTCGGTCGGCGGCATTCCGATAAGCTGTGTGCCAAATCTCTATCCAACACTGGACTAACGACAACGTTCAGATCTGAATGCGAAATTCTGGACTTCGCGGACCATTTTTGCTTAATCTTCGTCCGCACGATGCCGCGGGTATTCACGAGAAAAACCCATTATTCTGACCAGTTAATCATCATGAATAATTCTGGTTCTTTACCGGCGCTAAATACACTGCAGATTGTAGCCTTTTGTTGTTTCTGTTAAGTACCGAACGCGGTTAATACTCTACCGTTTTAGAAACATGCGAAAGAAGGCAACTTTGTGCTAGAACAAAAATTCTGGTTAAGTCATGAAATGTCTGAAAGAAGCAATTTTCTTTATGGAGTCCTTTGAGAATATTCAAATATCTTCGGATTTGTCGTGGCGATGTAAGGAGTTGTACACCTTGCAAGTTTTATTTCTGAAGCTGGGTCAAAACGACACCTCATTCGCCGGTCGATGATTAAGATTTCTATTTGCATTTCTCTGTTTATTTATGCAATCAAAGTCGTTTGTCAGCACACGTGCATCTTACACATTGTTACGTTCTGTCCACCTGGTACACCGACATCGCATTCAGAACCGGCAGGTTCGTCGACCTTAACAACCGACGCCGAGTTCTCTTGCTCGCAGAAAGCTCACTTTTGTCCCTCTCTTTTCACCCACCTTTACCATAGATTTCTATCGCTTCGTTACACAGCTTACGTAAAACATTCGTTCGTTATTTTTAGCTTTACATGCGAGACCAATGTCTTGGTCTCTCGGTGTTTCCGAAATACAAACAGGAAAACGGACGTAACTCTTCGACGATAAAGTCTCGTTAATCGCGCGACGACAGTTCACTGCTTGAATTAGATGAATGGAACACAAAATGTTTTACCTTACACGCGTCATCTACTCTGAAATTATAAAATATATTAGCATTCAAATGTATTAGAAATGTATTAGAATTACTAGAAATTATTAACTTTAAATTTTATGTATGATTTTGTAGCAAGTTTTATTTATTTAGATATTGTTATCGATTATCGATACGTCATTGATACTCAGCGATATCGTTGATGTTGTTAAGGTTAATGAGAGCTAGTGTTATCGGTAAATATCGATAACATCGTTACAATATCGTTAATATCATTTTTAATATCATTAGATTTGTGTCCCAAGTTAGGTTAGTAATACTGATAATAAATATATTTGAATGATAAAAATATTTGCAGTATTCTAGAATATAAAATCCTAAATCCATCATGTAAGACAAGATGATTCTACTTATCGATTTTTAAAAGAAAGAATCTATGTTTACGACCAGACGGTCATGCGCCCTAGCCACGACCTAAATAATCCTGCACGCAATGCATAGGAACGTAAACAAACAAAACTATAAGCTGATATATCATCAGAGTTCTGTATGTATATCATAAAAAGCATCCTTCTTTTTTACTTTCAGATAACACCGTGTAACACACCAGCCACCCCACCAAATTTTCCCGACGCGCTTTTAGCCTTCTCGAAAATGTCTGCGGGCGACAAAACTCCTTCGGGTAAGTTTCATTTTATTATTATTATCTGCGAGAGACTTTACCCGCTGTTGGTAAAAGCTTATCCGAATGCTTGCCATTCCTTTAGCGTATTTTAACGCTTGAACGCTCGATATTACGTGGCCTTATTTTTATCTATTTTATCAACAATAATAACAATTCAAGGCTTCCGATCTCAAACATTGTTAACTCTAACAATTTGATCCGAGAAAACCTTCAATATTATTCTATCGTTCAGTTGCGAAAAATAATAGTAAATACAATGACGTGGATTGTCAAACAGAACCAATAACATAGCTTTTTTAATTAAGTATAGCATTGAATTAAATACGCATGCGCGGAGAGAATAATGAAGGGGATAAACGCAAGGTTTCCCCCACCATTTTTTAGTTTCTGTTTAAAGTAGCGTGCAATTTTATGCCCGTTTCGGATTTGTCGCTTCTGTGGATGAATGTTTTATGGCACCTCAAAATCCACCTTTCAGTTTGAATTAAACCTTGACACCAGCATCTACTGTTTCAAAACGTATGCTCTCCATTTATCCTTTCAACTCTTTTACACTATGGGCTTTTTAACCTCCAGTTTTATTTTTATTTTTTCTAACAATCTCATCCATATATCGAATTATTGATAACATTTTGATATTTTAACGTTATGAATGTTAATGGGTCTGGGTGTGTTCGTGTCTATTATAGGAAACGAATTTGCATCGGTTTAAAGAAGAAATTGTGCTGTTACAGGAATGTCACCGAGCCAAAATGGATTGCATCAGAATTCGATGCAGACGGGGACGGCGGCGCAACACCATGGGGGACGGTGTAGCGTGACCGGGAACGCGCAACAGCAAACGCAAAGTCAACAATTAGGGCTAGGCGAGCCACAGAGATAAAAGAAACTGGTTATTCGGCGGCCCGTGCGCAAGATCCCGAGGTCGCGCAAGATGCACGTAAACGGTGTTTGAAACAGGAGGCATGGTTTAAACGATCGAATTGCTCCCAGGGTTATACACTGTGCGACACGAGAGCGTCTATTATTCGAGATTTGAGCGCTCGTGTGTACTCTCTCATCCCTAGAAAGGACGTGTGAGTTTTCCTGGAAAACCCAGGAAGCGGAGAAAAAACCCAGATTTATTTAGCGTGCGCGTAGAAGAAGCAATCTCTGTTTAGAGATCCAATCATTAATTGAATCACACACGGTATACGTGGATCTCTAGGATAGCCGGATATACGACCCTCGATTGTTTATTCTCGTTATTCTTTGATGATATATCGAACCGAACACGTCGGATCACGGATCCGAGCCTCTTGAAAACTCTCTTCTTCCGTCGGATATATCAGAGGTTATGTGTGGAACAAGAAAGAGAGAGAGACAACGGAGGTTATTACAAAGACTATTTCTTATTTTTCTCTCCTTTTTAAATGTGCTGTTGGGACGGTAGTTCCTATGATTATGAAAGACAGCGATACTCCTTAGCGCTTATAAAATTAGTATGCGTCCAGAATGCCGCTTGATGTAAATGAGTAGCGAGAAGCCTCCTCCACCGTCCCGGGTATCTTCCTTGTTGTTTCTCGATCTACAGACTCGCGGCTAAATAGGAAAACGTGTGTGCGGTTCGCGGACCGCGGAAGTCAATGAGAAAATTGAATATCACTTCCACACTATAGTACAAAAAATTGCCAGCACTGGATAAGCGCTTAGCCGACGACGGTAGTTTCTCATTTTTCTTGTAGTCGAACGGAGAAACATGATGAAATGTAATTCGATTTTAGTTGACCGCGAGTTGTACACGTATACTTGACACCATAGGGATAAGAATAGAAGGGATGTACGGGTACCCGATATATTGGGTTACTTACACATTCTTGAACAATGGGGTGTGTGAAATGCATGAAATATAAGCGGTATAGAAATAAAAAAAGAACGTACAGCTCTCTTGTATCCTTGTCTGATCACGCATGCGCAACTTTGGGCGCGATATTTTGAAAACCTTTACAGATGGAAATATGTTTCACGATTCCTGAGAGTTGCGTTTTCTAAATAAAATATAAATAAATATATGCGTGTTAGGGTACAAGAGACCCATATGGTATCATTCTTTTTCTATCGCTATATCACCTTTTTCATATCGCATACGCACTCTATATTCTTGTATTTCTATACTTGACACTCGTCTTCTTGAGAAATGATTGATCTTGATCGAGAGAGAGATTTAAAAATCTGAGTTTGTTTTGTTGCGAGAACAAAATTATTATTTATGCTCGATAAGAAAGCGAGCGATGAATGAAAACACGAGGCTAATTATGATAAAGACGGGATTACCATAAATTCTTGTGTAAAAATATGTAAAAAGAAATTTACTGATTATGCAATGTCTACATGAGTATTTATGTAACGTTATCGAAAGAATTATACATTTCAAGAAAATCCCTTTCTACGGAGAAATCACTTGCTCAGATAATATCCAGTGTAGGTCATTTTTTTTCTACAGGAAAACTAAAGCAGTGGGGCTACGTTAGATGAGCTGTTTCATCGTCAATTGAATTTACAGATAGGAATACAAATAGAGATTTCATACTGTTTCACCTGTTAAATCATGTAAATGATTTAACCTGAAAGTTCATATTATTCACAAGAAATCCTTGTATGGCAGCTCGTGTAATTTATCAGGACAGTATATACGATAAAAACAGTTTTTCATTTAATCATTCTTATAGTATAGATCAATAATGCATCATTAAAATTTAGTTTCATTTTTGCTTAAACAATTTCTTTCCTATGAGAGCGTATTTAATTTTGCGATACATCTACAACTCGTAATTAATTTGAATTCATAAAAGAAATTTCATTATCGAAAGAGATATATCCGAAGTTTAATTGACTAGTCACTATGTGCAGATTTCTTACTTGCAGTTAGAATTATGATCTTGACAAATACGAGGAACTTATGATCAGTATAATTTACATTACAAAGATGAAATAGTTCAAATGTTTGAGTTTCGCTGCAACGTTATCATATTGTGCATTCATTTGTGTAAATACAATCGGAAATTATGTCATATAAAAATCAGTATGACAAGATTTTTTTGTAAGGTATACGCTTTAATATCTTTTTTGTGTTTGTAACGTGTAGACTAGTGTTCCGTAATTTATTCACTGCAAAATATATCTGGTCCTTTTGACTTTATTAAGTAAATGATGCATTGAAATTGTATTAGCCTGATGTTCATTTAATTGCGTACAAATTTCGGAACACTGATCTAAACTATTATGAAAAATATTATTATGTTAAAGCTCTTATTATTATATTATTATTGTTTATTTGACTATCAATAATAATAAATAACGTTCATGTACATAATTCTAAATAAAACATAAATAATGGTGCTTTCATAGACTTTTATATAATTTCATGTAACTCTCATTCATGCCCTTTGTACATCGAACTTGAAGAGAGACACGCTTATGAATTATAGTACGTACAAACTTATTATGTACATGTAATACACTAATCGAATGAGCTAATGAATACAAATACAAATGATGTAATGCAAATATTACGTAGTTATGCAAATTATGAAACTAAAACTGTACAACGAGATGTTTCGTTACAATATGGTAACTTTTGTTCCATCACTTCTTTTCATTACAAAACGTTGTAACAAAGCACTAATAATTCTCTACAATAATAATACACATCACATGTTTATATGCAACACTGCTTGTTACATTTGTGTCAGTTGCATAGAAAATATATGTACAATATATTTAGTATATAATTGTGAAAAATTGCAAATCTCACTTTTCACTGATCACTTCATGATGTTTCTACACCTCTACCTAAACCGGACCATCTGTCCGGTACTGGTAAGAAGTATCGATGCATAGCTGCTATAAAACGAGCACGATATTCTTCCGGTGATATTATCGTTGGTAATTTTCCCTGGCCACCTAATATACCTGATTTTTTTACCATTGTCTCTAACTTTTTGTCCCAGGTAAACGTTCGTATGTAATCTGCAAATACATATTTTTTATTAACACTCCATATAAAAAAATATAATTAATTGTCACTTACCTATTATGCCAAGAACAAGTTCATCCGAATTTGGCTCCAGACCTACTAACAGTGAATAATCCATGACAGAATTATCGGCCAGGAATTTTGTGTCTTGTTCGATGGCTCTATTTAAAACTGCTTTGGAATGTGATCTGATATACAGTGGTGAATCACAGCTCACTGGAAATGCATCTTATGTTTAATCCGAAAAGTCTTTGTACATAACATTAACGATGTACTTACTGTTTAATAAGTTTTCATCTAATAGAACAAGTTCTCCTTCGTGACATATGTCTTCAGGATTAACCAGTCGGTTTCTCACAGATCCTTTCAAATCAAACTTATCCGTTATTGTTCTTTTATAAAATAAATTTTCCATCACTAGAACACTAGTGCGTAAAGCTGCGTTTGTCGTATTATTTTTAAAAGATACTCTGTAAACGCCAACTATCTTTCCCAACAGCGTTGGCTGTTTAGTTTGTTGGCATTTTTCCATGTAGGAAAAATAATTGGGTGCAAAATCAAGGAATATTTGCATTTCTAATCTAGACATTTCTTTTATGATGAACCTGTCATCTGTATCAAAAGTAGGAAGAATGTTAACAAAATTAATACTGTTTTATGTTAATACATTCATGTACATAATTTTATACCTCGACTTTTGCAAAAAGTACTTCCGCTTTTTCCGCCTCTTGCAGCCCATTGCACACTTCGACTCATACTCCTTGTAAAACCATCCTCTCCACATGGTAAAACGCTTTCTCTGAAAGCAGCAAATTGCGCAGCAAAATATATTCTACAGTAGAAATTTGTCGTTGCATCATTGAATTGTACTTCGATATAGTTCTGTTGTTTTGTCGTTTTCTTATCCTCATCAGTTTCCGCAACTGTTGATGGATTTTGTGCGCTAGAATCCACACTTGTAGTTGAATTTTTTTCCGAATCTATGGGGCTCGCAGAATTTGGACTGTTTCCTCTGAAAAATGACAAAACTGATGGCCTCTTAAATTCCCCAGATTGTATTATATCAGGGAAATTCTCTTTGTTTTCTGGAAATTTCCTTTTAATCAGAGGACTAGGATTTAAATCTGGCCCTTTTGTTGAACGCATCAACTCATGCAGTGCATGTTTGTAGTCATGCGAATCAAGTGCATATGCAATTATTGATGAAGGTTCTGATTCGTATACCACTATAGGTACAACAGACCTGCAAATATTATTGTTTATTAATACTTACAAAAAATTATTAAGATTTGAAACTATGTAGATATAATAGTCATACCCTAGTGGAAGTAAGTGATGTTCCAAACTTCCCAGTGGATTTGCTATTGGTTGAACAACAGGCATCGAAGGCAACAATTGTGATAAAATTGTTTTCTTCTTCTTCTTTTTATCTGGTATATCGTCCAAAGCAACAGGTAACACATCAGAGTGTGATCTTTGATGCATCTTTGGAGATCCCTGAACGATAGCAATGTCTTCAGGATTATTGTTCTCTAAAACTTCATTATCTGAACTTTCTAATCCTTCAATTCCTTGTAAATCATGTTGTACCGCCGCGATAGCATCGATAGCATTATAATCTGCCGACATAGGACTTAAATCTTCAATCTGAGATTCTGATGCAGTATCTTCGGTTATGTATCCATCCGTGTCTATTATGCTATTACTGCCAGTTGTTAATGATCGTTCAGTAAATCGTCTAGGTCTTTCATCCTTCTTCTTAACAGACATTTCTAAAATCTTTGCGTTCCAATTGAACACAACTTCCGATATCAACCGTTTCAAGATCACTATTCCATCTTCAATTCTGAACATCAGTGCTTGCACTTGCTTTTCAGACACTTTCCCTTCGAGCTTTTTGTTCTCCAAAGTTGGGGACGTTAATTTCAACTGAATTTCTTCAATTTTATTCTTGAAATATTGCTGATCTTTAGTTAACTGTTGTTTGGCAGCATTTAAATTGTCCGTATCAATTTGTAGGGTTAATAATTTCTCTCGTATGGAGGAAAATACTTCGTCTCCTTTTAACGCTATACTTTTCATCTCTTCTATCACATCGGCATGTTGTTTCGGATCATACACGATATTTATCAAAGGGGGTGGTAAAGAAATTTCCCACTGGGATATCTTTGTGTACTTAAATACGGCTAGCATATTTTTCTTAGTGAAATATTGATAGTGATCGTGGTGAAGGGAATGTTGACAGGTGTCTGTACCTCGCCGAGTATAAGCACTACCATGAAAACGTAGTTCCAAATACTTGGCAAAGGACAAAGACCAAGTGTCATCTGACATTGGTACCACTGGTGAAACACTTTTGCATTTCATGCATTTACTCCACATCAATATCTGATTTGCATTCTCTTGAGAGAAAGGTTCGGTACTCATTTCGTTTAAACTGATATGTATGCAACCACCGTCATGTGCAAAACGCCTGACATGCTGGGCAATTTGTGCTCGACATGCTTGAGCAGGACATTTACATTCCGTGGTTAAACAGTAGCGTTCCAGAAAACGTCCTAGTGCAATATCATTTCTTCCGTATAAGTCCATGTTGACTACCCATGGATTCACACAGAATGCTGGGGTATCGTTACCACTATGAGAGAAGCTGCAAAATAACACAGACAGACGTTGATGGCTAGCAGGGTCCAAACAATCAGGCCACACAGGTGTTTGATCATTAACTTCAGATTGCATTACAATCTGCTGTTTGTCGCACAAAACATTATTTGTTGGATACAGTCGACTACCACACGCTCTAAAATTAGCCAGCAGCGCTTGCACTTCTTGACTATCAACATCAGTAGTTAGCCTCGCTTGAACAAACGGATGTTGAGGTTTTAATTTCAATCTCAATAATGGATTTTCAATTCTGGATTCTATCGCCATGTTACTGGCTTTAACTTCTTTCACTTTATCCACAAACTGTGCAGAATAAAAAATTTCTCTTGGAAAAAAGCTTCGCAGTACGCAGTTTCTTCCTGTCTCTGTTTCCAAATAAGGTATAGAAAATTTTAAATAAGGCGAAACGCTTAATATCGTTCCCTCCAGCGCTTTCTTAAATTTATTTAATAGTGGCAAGTCAGCAACACTTAAATGTTGACCATTAGGACTAGTTTGACTGAATACATCTTCATCACCTTCGTTTAAATACTGATGCAATGGATCACTGTGATCGCTTATGGACTCTCCATAAATTCGCTTCTCCTCTGACGCGGCTTTATCTTTTATTCTTAATTTCTCAATTTCTTCTTTGGTATTTTTGATTATTTTCTCATTAGTTTTAGTTCCAAATAGTTCAATCGTACTATTCGGTTCTTCACTGCTATCCATTTCATGTTCGACAGTATTACTTGGATCTTCATTGTTACTTAATGTTTTATTTGCTAGATTGTCTTCCGTGTTTTTTGTAGAAATGACAGAAGTTTTTGTTCTAGGTTTAAATAATTTTAAAGTATCGTAAGGATCAGCATCTTCAGACAATATAGAAGATATTTGTTTAACGGAATTTGAGTCTAATATATGTTCAGAAGCTTGATCTGAAATCGGTTCATTAGCTGAAAATTCTATTTCTATACTTTGTTTACCAATTGATATATTATCAGAACTTTCTTGAATTTTTGATATTTTCAAAATTTCTGTATCATTTGCATGCTCTTTATGGATTGACGATGAATCGTCAACTTCTCTGGTTGTAGCGTACACTACTTTATTCATCTCTTCAAAGTCTTTGGTATCTTTGTTTACTGTTTCATCCAAAAATGAATTATCTTTAGGAGATGGTGGTCTAGCAAATTCGTCCATAAGAAATGATTTTTCAAGACGCCAAGAATAAGCAGCAAAAATCATCATTGAAGTTACATTCTTCACTTTTTTTAATTCCGCTTGAGAACCACCTCTTAACAAAATTGTAGCTCCAAGATGTGGATGTGCACACCCCTCAAAATACATCAGTGTTTTCATTCCATCTAAAAAGAAATCATTAGGTTTTATTTTACTACAATTAAAAATTTAATGGAGTTGAATGTTCCATTACCCACTTTTGTCGCTTGAAAAGTTTCGCAAGTAAAACTTTTTGCATGTACCAAGCATATACCTTGCGCCTATGTGTGCATCGATGGTATTCACAATATTAGCACCGGTACATCGTGCAACTCTTTCAAGAATACTAAGTTTTACATTCAAAACGAGTGTTACTCCACATTCTCTGAGTCTATCTTGTGCTAATCTCGATACAGAACGATGTACAAGTACTACGTCTGGACCAAGAGCAGTAATCCTAGCAACCGTATGACCTAAATACTCATTTTCCTAAAAATACTTGTTATGTGATACAAAATAATAATATGAATAATGTTAATGTGTGTTGATTAATTTTTTCCATACTTGTAACATCACAGGCTCCAAACTCAATAACTTTCCTTCTACACGTTGATACATAAGTCCGCACTGAAGTAATAAGATTTTTGGATGAGCTATCATCGCGTTCATTCCTCTGTGTGCAACATTTTTGGTACAAACTACGCCGGACACAATTTCACAATCATCTCTACTACCACCTGGACATTTTTTTATTTGTACATATTGTCGAATGTCCAAATCGTCGACATTGTGATTTAAATCTGGTCTAACATGATCAATAATTTGATGAGCAATGGGAAGTATTACTTCTGACCAACTTTGTGATAAACCTTCTTTATTAAGAAGTTGCTTAATTAGGGAGTCTTCATGTTGCTTATATGCAGATCTATAATTATGTGAATATGAACATGACTGTATATATTATTTTTATTATATGTATAATACTTACGTTAGACATTCATAAGCATGAAGTTCTCCAAACGCAGTTCTCAGATTCGTTGCTTTATGCCATCCGCCTTTTTCTTTAAATTCCTCTACTTGCAGTGTATCGTTCAAAAGATCATCAGCGATTTTCAAATTACACTTATGTGATTTAACCGTGACTTCTTTCTGTTCGATAACACCATCACTACTGTCTACAGAAATTGTGGTTAAATCCTCCGACGTGGGTCTTTTTAACGTAACAGTGGATGCTTCCAAGTTTAAATCTAAATAGAAACTTGAGCTAGAAGACGGTAAACGTCCGGTACTTTGCTGCATTGAATTTGAAGGTTTTGTTTCACTTTCAGAATCTGAAATGAATAAACATTCTATTTATGTACAGTTCACATCATTGACGGAAATGTATATTAAATGAAATCGAAACAGAAAATAAAATAAATTTATAAAATTAATACATTAAATACTACCAGTGGTTGAATCATGTTGCGGAATTGTTTTTACCCATGCAGGTTCTTGAGCATCGCACGTATTTTGCGTCTCAGTTAACAAATCCATATTTTGTATATGTTGCAATTTTACTGGTTTAAATACGGTTGCCATATCGCTGAATACATTGTCAGCAACCACTGGTTCAATAAAACCTGCTTCCAATAATGCTTGCCCTATAGCAGTAGCCTGCACTCTGCAGAATGTGAACATTTTAATATCTTGAATGTTTCCATATTCTTTTTTATTTGAAGCATTTATACCTAGTAGCTGCCTTATTTTGTGCTATCATCCAGTTTACTAATTCATTTGCTAAAAAGCAGTTGTGATAACTTTTCAGTCTGATTCTGTGCGTTTGTAACAGAATTGCTTGACTTGATCTAAACAACTCTTCATAAATCATTCTTAAAGAAGCCGAATTTTGTAAAGCGATTGAGCGTTCTTGGGATGTCAAGTAACTAGTTGCTGAGCTGAAAATAATATTTATAAAATAATTGTATGTTCAGAAAATTGGATAAAGAGATAAAACTGATAGCAAGGACGAACCGTCCAATTGCATATTTCTCCTCCATGTATCCTACACTTGGTTTTCTACAGATGGACGTATCATCCTCTGCAGATTCATTAGCATTCTTTTGAGTTATAGGTGGAGGATCACTTCCATATTTAACTTGAAGGTCTTCTTGTAATGCTTTCAAATCCGCTGACAGGTCACTTCTCATGTCTGACGATTGTAAATAAGATAAAACTACCTTACAGCAATACGTACAAACTCTAAGATCTCCTGTAATAAAAATTGATTTTCTATAAATATACAAATGTTGCATAATGAACACCTGTTACTTCCTATTATTTTCATACCAGTGCATCCCATAATTTTGCCAGGTATTTGATCGCAGCAACATTTTGAACAAAATATCTGACCACAAACACGACAATGATGTCTTCTACGAAATGTTGTAAATCGTTCTCCGCATTCGTAACACTGTTTGCTTACATTATCTGGCATCCAGTAACTTCTTAACTGGGAATCTTTGTACGAACGTAAATTCTAGACACAATTGACAATATAGGTGATTTGTATAACTTACATAATTTGTATAACATATATAGAAAAAGAACTCACATTGCTTTTTAAAGCTACAATATTACTGATACGTTTTAAAACATTGGGTAAACTTCTGCCTTCGCGAGTATCCAAAGGAAAGTTCATCATACTAGAGCTATCATCCTCAGGTGTTTTCTCAGTACTTTCTGATTGCTTCCATGATTCTGAATCCGATGAGCTTTGTTCCTCATTGGTAGAAGAAATTGTAGAATCGTCAACATTTTGCGAACCTAAAGAAATTTGTTTTATGATGTTTTTAATTTTGTTTATATAATAAAGGAATAAATGTATAGCACAAATATTATAAATAAATGTTATATCTGCAAGTAATGCACTTACTTCTAGTGAAGCTAAAGAATTTTGAAAATAAGGAAGCTACAACAGGTTGGCTCTCCTCTGGACTTAACGGAGCGAACTCCGTAAGTTTAGACGGAGAATTCATATTCTTGTTCATGTTGCTCGGTGCTATCTTGCTATAAACATTTTTAAGATAAAGTGTTCACAAGCCACTGTTTCTGCACTTGCGTCGACGAACGCATACGAAAAGTGTTTGACAGGGATGTCAGATGATCAAGTTTGTTTCGTTTGCTTATGCTAGGCGCAGATGGCAGCGCGTACAAAATATCGTGGCTCTTGTTGGATTTACGTATACAAGTTTTATTTACCCACAGCTGATATATATATGTACAAATTACTAATTAAAGGGAAGTTCAGGTTTTATCGTTGGATGACAGTCTACGAACTTTTATAATTAAAGAATGGTCAGCAATGCATTATTTACATGGTTCGATCATAAAAGTTCATAAATAATGTTCGGGTAACGAGTAATAAATTATTTTGTGTCAGCATTCCGATACGTACATGAGCCGCCTATGTCAATTCTACTGCGCATGCAAAGTGCAATATTTCGGTGCAATATTTATTTTATTTTTTAGGATATTATTGGGATAATTATTTTAGGATATTGTAATAATTATAAAAAACTGTAAACTTTCTGATGTAATTTCTAAAATAATTTTTCTTAAAGTGCGTAATACAACATCCAGTTATATTGCGAAAATTTTGTATTAATCTATTTCAAATACGTCTGTTATAAATTAGACATATTACATGCCAGTGCGCGGATATTAATTCTGTTATATAATTTGTTCCCCTTGGCTGGTAGTTTCCCAAGGGAAGCCAAATTTTCACTCGAGTCAAACTTTCTAACTTATAAATTATTTTTATATAAACTAAGGTAAATAAATCCATCAAAAAGTCTCGTCCTCATTAGTAAGGAATTTTTTATTTGATTTTATTGAAGATGACTATCTAAAGGATCCATTACTCAAAACCTCAATACATCGCTGTTGTAATAGTTATATTTTATTTGTTATTTTAATAATTACTCTGTTAAGGTATTTGTTAACAAGTAATAGTTAAATTATACATTTAACTTGTAACTTAAAATTAATTCCTCCTACGACAAGATGTGAATCGGAGGCACGCGACTCACCGATCGTTGATTTGCATCACTGTACCCTCGATAATCGACGTTCATAAAATACTCGATTATCTTATTGTTAGAAATAATTCGTAATGATATATGACGTGAGGGTCAGGGTAATGTTAGTTAACTTTGACAGTAGATCAAGTTTAAGTCTTTAACAATAGAAAGCCATGGTGTTCAGTGAACCAAGTGTTTTGCTATTTTACTCAAGGCCGAGAGGCTATTGTATTGTAATTTTCTTTTACGAGATTAACATTAATTTTGAATTTATTTCATGGTTAAGTTATTAATTATATTACATGATGAGGTCATTATTAAATCTCTTAAAGTCTATTTTCTTCTTACTCTGTCTTGTAAATATATTAATTTGTTTAACTATTTAATCTTGATTATGGTTTCAATATAATTTTAAAAATCAGTCATTGACTTGACATCAAATTGAATTTACTTTTTACTGTTTCAATTGCTATTCTATCAATTATTTTGACTGCGTCGCTGTTTCATATTTAAAATATTATATTTAATTTCATTATATATACATTGTACCTATATATCATTATATATGTATTGTATATTATAATTATAATACTTAGTGATTTATATAATAGACATTTTTTATGACCCTTCAAGTAACTTTTCAAACTTGAATAAATTCAGAGATCAAATGAGACCAAAAAGAAATTAAATGATCAAAAGGAACATACTTCGAATCTATTATAAAAATATAAAAAATAAACATTTACAACAAATACTCGTCACCTAAAATTCGTCTAATCTTTAAGACAAGAAGGAAGTAACACCAACAAAAAAAACGCATGTTTGTCTTTTTACGTAACGATGCAACCGAAAACCGTCCCCCTAACTCGTTGTAATAGTGAAAGTTTCGCTATGGATGAAATTCGAGATGCACGCAAAATACAATCCAGTGTCTTTATCAAAAATTCCATTGCTTGACATGCGGATAACTGGATCGTGGAAAGAAAAATCGGTACGAAGGTGTGAAGAAGCTCGATCCACTTTCGACGTTATGGATCCAAGTGATTCATTCTAGAACCACTGTTGGTTTGAGGTTCACTCTCCTTATATTGCAGTCTATGTATATACTGACGATATGGAAAGAGTAGTTTTTTATAGCAATTGTAAATTTAAGAATTTGGAAGTTTGTAAATTTGCAACTTTGTATTTACAAGCTTCTAAAAATTTCTGAATTTATAAATTTTACAGTTAGGTAGTTTGTAAGTTTAGGTGCTTCTTAATTTTTAAATTTGAGAATTGAGGAGTTTGTAAATTTGTAAATGTATGAACTTAGAAATCTGGATATTTGTAAGTTTCTAAGTTAACAAGTTGCAAGTTTGGGTATTTCTAAATTTGACAAGTTGCAAGTTTGGGTATTTCTAAATTTGACAAGTTACAAATTTAACTATTTCTAAATTTGACAAGTTACAAGTTTGACTATTTCCAAATTTGACAAATTACAAGTTTGACTCTTTCTAAATTTGAAAAGTTACAAGTTTGACTATTTCTAAATTTGACAAATTACAAGTTTGACTCTTTCTACATTTCACAAGTTATAAATTTGACCATTCCTAAATTCTGCAAGACAAATCCAAAACTGCCTCAATTTCTAAATCTTACAATTTGGTCTTAAGTAACCCCAAATCTAAATAAACCTATTCATCCTTTACTAACCCAACCTAACCCGACAAGTCTCACTACCACACCTCCCTAGCTCTCCAAAGAAGTTAGCAAAAGTAAAATAATTTCTGTACACCGATTAATTTGCACAAAAAAATGGATGCAATAAGGCCTGTATTTTTTATGTTAGATTAAAAGATAATCGATACGATCGCTTTCAAAAATAGAAAGAAAACGTACCGCCCATTGCGTTTCGCACTACCAACGATTTCGTTTTCTATCTAATTGTTTATCTATCGGTGATCTTTATAATTGACCTATTTTTTTCCAACTGACTTGATCGCGTAATAAAACGATTTGAAACGACAACGGGTAACGTTGCTTTAGAAAGGCGTGTTCGGTGTTACAACAGTGTGACACACACGTATGTGTTAGGCTACTATGACGGGATGCGATACCGCAAGAAAAAGACTCGGGTGGTATAAAAGGGGGTGTATTCCGTGCTGTTGGCATCAGTTTCAGTTGCGAACTACAACTGCACATCGCTAACCAATCAACATGAAATTCCTCGTAAGTAGATTTGCACCGAACAAATTATTAACGCCAGAATTAATGGAAACGTTAGTCGTCTTATGACTCTGGTTCAAATTTGTAATCTGTAATAAATGAAATTTGTTAACATCTGTTTGAAAACTTAAGAAGAAAAATTAGAAATTGAATAAACATTTTCTTACATATAATTTTATGTTATTTTACATATGAAAATTTATGATAATTTGGAATTTGGAAGTTTGGAGACTCAAAAGCTTGAAGAAGAAATTTGAAGATTCGAAGACTAGAATTTGGGAATTGAGAAATTTAGGAAGTTGTACATTTGCAATTTTTGAGAATTAAATTTGAGAACAGAGAATTTGGATATTTGGGTACTTGAAGATTCAGATATTTAAGAACTTATAAATTTGCAATTTTTAGGAATTGAATTTGAGAATAGAGAATTTGCATATGTAGGTACTTGAAGATTTGAATATCTGAAGAATACTTAAGAACTTGTAAGTTTGCAATTGTTGGGAATTAAATTTGAGAATCTCAAAACTTGAAGACAAAGCAATACTTTAAAAATTACACAATTTCTATCTAACACCAAAAACTTATACGTCATCCTAATCAGAGAATCTTGTAGAAGTACTACACAATATTTTCCACTGATATCCAGATTGTTCTTGCTATCATCGCCTTAGTGGCCCCCATCTATGCCCAGGATGCTGAAGAGAAGACCCTGGAAAAGAGAGGCATTTATGGATTGCATTCTGGAGGCTTGGGACTTGGAGGTAAAGAAGTAGATCTTAAAAAAAATTACTTCCACTAATATTAAATTTAAACTGCTATAAAATCAACCAGTCTTCAACAATAAAATATATCTCCATAACATAGAAGAAAATAGACTTAACCAGGTATAAATACGTCCTCTTACAAACTGTCCTTATAATCCATTTTCTGTAATCCTAAATTCTCTTTAATCCCATTGCTGTTTTCAGAAAGCTTAATTCCTCATAAAGTGTAGTTTGTAATTGGTTAAAGTACTTAACCTAAATTTTTAAATCTTTCCTGCAAAATTCTTGCAATATTAAAATTAAATTAATAAAATTAACAGGATAATTTTAGACCGAATGATTTTAATTTTAGGACATGGTGGAGGTTATTCTTCATACAGCGCCCCCATCCTTCGTGTATCCAGCGGACACGGTGGTGGATACGGAAGTGGCATTGGACTCCATGGAATTGGCAGAATTGGTCATGGGCATGGATACTAAAGACGGCAGTATTAATTGGTGCTGATACCCATTGATACGATTCTCAACCTTTTTTTCGGGGATATTACACTTCTTTTTTTACACTTTCTACTGATCAAATGAAGTTTATACGGATGAAATAAAATTTTTTACCTTTTCATTATTGGAATTGTTACTTATCCTGTCACGATAATTACCTGTTCGACATATGACGGTATTTCGAAGTTTTATCCAAAATTAATAATGGTTTGAAAAGTCAAAATATTCCGAAATTAATTATTTTTATTTTCCAATGTGATTTGACGCATATTAATGATAATTAAGATAATTAAAAGATAATTAAATTTTTAATGAACTAGTGGCGCCATCTCTCCGGCGAACAGGGTAAGGACACACTTTTGAAACTGCAGCTTCATTAGTTCCTATTTTTTACCGCTAGATGGCGGTGCATAAGTAAAAAAATAGGCTAATTAATATTAGTCTTAGAATGGTTAATAATTAATAATAATTTAGTAAAGTCAAAAGAATTCCAAATCAGCCTTGTACTTTAATATAATTCAATTCATATTACAATCAACTAAACTATTAAAATCAATATTAATTAAATTGAATCGGAAATGACAAACGTGGCGCCGTCTACGGCAGTGATGGGCAGACTCAGCGCATGCGCAGTAAGCAATCCGTACAAGTCCTCAGTAGCGTATACACTTTGATGAAATATAAGGTATCATTAGGCCCAAGTGAGGAAAAAAAATAAAACTGAAGAAAATTGCAGGAAAGAGAATAAAAGGGTTAAATAATACAACAGATTATATATAATAAAAGTGATATTAAATTTATTTATAATTATCATTATTTTTTACGTTTACAGCCGATTTGTTACATGAATACCGATATTTGTTGCAAGAGCAAAGGAAAATATACCGCTCCATTTTTATCAGATCTATGCATGTTAACAAAATAAAATCCTTGTATTTCTTTCTTATTGTTTCTCTGATATTATAATTTTCACACGTATAAAATATAGTTATTCAAAGAGGTCCTACCAAGTCGTTTTTCTTAAATAATAAATTCATTTAGTGTTTTTAAAGATATTGTGCTTTTGTGTTATTTTAAATATAATAATTTTCCATATTCCATCATATTATACCCATTATATTATATTATATAACTCACGATATATATATATATGATTACATATATCTATATATATATATCTATATATATATATATATATCCTTATTATTCTTATTATTATCAGTATATATATATATATGTATACAACTATACAACTCTATATATATATGTATGTATATTTATCAATATTATTACGCATATTACTACTACTATCGTCGCTGGAACT